GACGATTCCCGATAAGCATGAAACAGCCGTACAGTGCTTCTCGGACTTTTGGCATAAATTGGTTTCCCCTCGAGGACGAGCCCTCCATTCAAGATTTCCAAATCTCTTCACACTATCAACGCTTTAGTGATAATAATATGTGGGTGCGTTTACACGGCCTTAGATAATCTGTTTTCCAAGCACCTGGCTTAGACGCTAGGGCACGTTATCCGGCACAAAATAAGCCCGTAGGGTTTGTTGGCCATTCCGAAGTGGAACCGGTTTGATAGTCTGCATCAGTATCACTGGAAAGTGATTCTTTGCGACGCATATCTTCCAAGAAAACTTTAATGGTGACTTGTGAACTCTGGTTTTCCTCCTTCGTTTGGGCCTTGGTCGTAAAATGACATTACAAGAGTACTTAACATCCGATGAAATGGACTTTCCGGGTACACATATTCACCGTTGTGATCCTAACAAGCTGTGTGGTCCCTGCAGGAGGACGATATCTCAATTAGAAATTCCAAATCCCTGATCGGAATGTGCGATTCGGTCAGCTGACTAGCAGAGCTAACAGCTTTTGACCTCTTGTTACCTACAGCTTAAGGTCTATTATAGGATGCTCAAGGACCTGTGAAAACGGAATACATAGGTAGAAGAGAATTACGCGATGCCATATTACACACGGGAAGAACCATATGGTTTTCTGTACAATGAGAATATCGCTTTGCATGTAGAACGGGTGGCAACGTATGGAACACTGAATTCTTTCGACCGTAAAATCGGAGTAGATTTATAAAATAAACTCAATATTTGGTCGTGAAAGCCAAACGTAAAAGAGTGGAAATAGGCATGCCTGAAAAACCCAGGTGGATTTCACCTGAATCCCTCGTTTATAACACTCTCCAAGAGGGATGAAGTCGGTTGCAGGCTAGCCCCAGCTTTCAGTGACCCTATGAATGCTACTGAAACAAATCTGGACGTCTCGACTGCCGTTCCAACTGAAGCATAAGATAGCCTCGAGGGAGTACAGGTAGTTGGAGAGTGCTAAAAACGAGAGATTCTGGTGCAATTCGATCAGTCTTCCGTCAACACCAAGTTACTTCGCCAAGCCTGATTTTCGCTTCAGCGCGTAACAAATTGATGGATGGAAAACGATGAATCACTCCGGAACGTGAATCTTTGGAAGCAATATGAAAATTCCATCATAAATAAAGAGCATGACGATCTCAACAAGAGAACGAAATGCCCACTTCTATGTTGATGAGCTGATCGGTTGTTGTTAGCGTTCCGGTTGAATTTAGCGGAATGACACATGCACCAGTGAAGGGTGGATAATCGGAATAATGCCGGTGTAAAAATTTGGCATTGTACCTTTGGAATTGAGTGACAATTGCAAGAGTAAACTCGCTTATAAGCTCGGTAGGAGTGACCGAATTAATTAACAGAATCTACCTTGAATTATTAACACAAGTGTCCACGAAATAAACTATGTCAAGCTCGCAGTTCACAAGCGATTCTTTAAGAACCACCTCTAAGCTGAGACCGCTTTCCGCGTTCCTTGACGATGCTTTCCGTACGCATGACCGTGTCACGTATTTTGTGAAGATTGATTGATGCTTCAGGAAGAATCTGAAGTCGTGCAAAAGACGCCAATCGGTAGACTGCCAGTCTCGACCCAAAAATACCATTTTAATGAAACCATATTTTAGTTTAGGTGCCCGACGAAAAGATAGCATTCGGATGAATTCGATTTGACTGTCTACGCAGGAAGTGTTCAAACAATATGATAAGTGGTGCTAAATCTTTCTGCGATCGACGACCAGCTATAATTAACAAATTTTCCATCTCGTGCCCGTTTTTAATCCGTAAACTACTCACTAATCGTACGAGTCATTTTCCGTGCTTGCAGTCATCGCTTTCGATTTGACGTTTGTGTGAAATTTAACGTTCCTGAGCTCAGCGGCAACAGAAACAAATCCTCAAGTGAAAGGCTGAATTCTGTTTTTTTTTCACCATTGATTCTCTTTAGCAGAGGATGCCCCCCAAAGGAAGTCGCTCGTCCAAGTTGTCTAAGCATGAAAGACGTTGTCAAAACGGAACTCAAATACTTTATTGTTCAATTAAGCAGATACGTTCGAGGCTTGCGATGTGGTCAACTCAGCGGTAAACATTGAATAGTGAAGATATCCATTTTGGCGTATTTTACCGGGTCTTGTAAACTGGGCGCGGATTTGAGGTGAATTCCACTCAGAAAACTGAAGTGTACTGTAGACAAAATCATCACTTATTCTTACGAAAACGCACTAGAGTCAAATGCGATTTCCCAATTCATGTCATCCGGATGCCATTTTCGAATGAACGGCCGCAGTTTTAAATTGGTTACTTGTTAGTGGATTCCGTTGACATACATAAGCTGCATCAGCTGGGTAACTGGTATTGAGCACCGGTCAGCAAACAAAATACCAGTATCAGTCTCATTCAGGCAATAGGCTTTTTTTAGCAGCAATCTTGTAAGTTAGTAAGAATCTACCTGTCAAATGTGGGTACGACGCTCAAGGACACGAAGAAAATCAATAATGGATGCGGATTAAATCATAGCGCCCTCAGTTCAACCACAGCAGCAGCAATGAGTGCCATTCAGTACTTGAGAGTGAAATCTGGAGAGTAAACTTCTTCTTGACGTAGTGCTATTTGTATGGTTACTTGAAATTCCTCAACAGTTCACCACCAGCTTATCTCTTCTTGGGGTCTAGTAGGTAGCCGTATTTTCATCTTGAATACCAAATTTCACGCAAGCGGTGAACTATAAATTAGGTTATAAGTGGCATCCCTAACCGAATCTCACTTGACTCTCGTTTGTGATGTGATAAGCGTACCTTCCACATGAATGTAAGGAAAAATTCCAATTCAACAAAGTTCACTGGGCAATCAATGAATCCGAGACGGTGCAACGGGTCCACCGGCTGTTTACCTAACCTTTCTAGGATGATGACTTCTCGATCGGCTCCTAGATTTTTTCACTAAGGTGAAGCTCGTTTAGAAAGTTATTCGCAGGGTAACGACTTTTGTCGGTCTTGTGGGTGTTCTCCAAACACGAGTCCCTAGCTGAGTGATACTAATAAGGTTGTTTATATTCTGCTTGTCGGATGAACCTAAATTGGCGCACAAAGGCACAAATGGAAAATACAACTCCCCGGACTGTCTGTTCTTCAGAAGCATCTTAGTTTCATCTCTTTTACATCCAACTCCTCCTACAATGCACACTATCCCCTTGGATTCGCTGGTGCTCTCTCTAAAACAACATTCGCTTATCCGATTATCACTACCACCATATTGACGACGGATACTGATCGAACATCACAGTTTGCACTTTTCGACCTGATGGGAGACCAAGTGAGAGGAGCTAAATTGTTCTCAAACGACTGGGATTCGGTATTATAGTGGAATAAATTATGGGAGACGTGGTCGGCTCAGCAGCTACAGGCTTTCAGTCCCTATTGAGACCCAACATGAAGAGGCGGAAATGCGGAGGCATGTGGCTTTTTGAAGAGCAGTTGCAAACTTTTGTTCAACGAGCTATGCGCTTGCCGACCAGGCTATCACAGCCGATTTGATTTAGAGGTGAATCTCGCTATGACCAACTGTTGGCCTGGACATTCTAACTAGTGGGCCGTGGTAATCGACTCCCAAGGAGTAGCTGATATTCACACAGTCGTGGGCATGGAATCGAAAACACTATGTTTTCTAAATCTATCATCAGTGTACGCTTGATACAGATGTTAACAGTCAGCCAGAGTTATATGATCCATCCCATCTGCCTCCGTCCGACGTATCCCAATAAAGCGACTAAACTTGCATCTTTCCAATCCGAGTGTTCCAATTCCAAGCCCATAGCTTTATACCTATCAGGTAACTTGTAGTTGGAACAAACGATCAGACGAAACACGATTGTGGACCGCTGTTTATGACACGAAACTAAGTTTCTGCCAGTATTTTACCGCTGGCACCGTTGGATGCGCAAAAAAAGAATGGAAAACTCTTTAAGCGATTACCTGGTCAGTGAGAGCGATATTTGCGATTGAGTTATTTTGTGCAAGCCAGTTACGGAAATGAAACTCGCGAAACTGTCTAAGATGCCCATCTTGGTTCACAGTAATCTCCGGCATTTGCCTCGACGGCCTATAGCTTTGCCACAGCGTTCAGAAAATGTTTCACACCCACATCTTCGATAAGATTGTCAGGAGACATGCTTCCGGAAAGTCTGCGTGAAACTGTTTAGTCTCACAAGCAAGCGAGTCGACAAATTCGTAATGAACACATAGGCAAGTGCATGATGAGAGGAAATACTCATACGGGGTATGGAATGTAAGAGTCGAATTCACACTGGGATATTCAAAGCGGGGTTGATTCGTGGTTAAGGTGAGATAAATATCGTGTGCTTACGAAATTTTTTCGCTATCTAGATCTGACAAACTATTTACGTCAGTTTTAGTTTGCATCCCGCGAAACCACACCAAGTTATGGATGAGCAGATTGCTTACTCCTCAGAAGCACCGACGACCCACGAGTAAAAATAAGAAAGGAGCTGGTCCGTTGGGCTCTTAAATGTGTTCACTATCGACGATACCTCGCGGGAGGCAATCTTGTGCATTATTGATCTTTGCTTCAAACCGCAAGCACAGGAACCAAGTGTAGAAGCTAGATGAAATGGGTTGAAAGTACGAATGAGGTAGACGATCTACTGAGAAAAGGTGCGCAAATCAGGTTCATATTCTTTAGTGAACTATGTATGCATCCAGAGCAATCGGAAACTAGGTTTTACAAGATCCGATCCGTTCCGATCGCAAAAGTGGACGATGACCGCGAAAAGGACCTAGACTTAGCATAGAATCACCTGTCCTGTGTTTGAATAAATCAAACCTTTCCAATCAACAGGAAAATAAGGCCACGATGAAGCAAGACCTCAGCTACAACGACTAGGGAAGTGAAAAGTTCAAAAACCGAAAAACAAACCCTTTCGCGACGTAAAATAACAAGACCTGAGAAAATTAGCACACACGAATCCAATTTATGTACACGGTGCAAAATTCAGTGAGTAATGTAAATATCTGACTGTACAAATTCGATTCATGAGCTATGTGGTTGAACGAGTGAAGAGACTCCACCTCGAAGTACAGCAGTCAGAGCAGCGAGAGGGTCAGCGCTGATATGTTCGTGCACCGGAATTATTTCGCGGGACTCTGATTTGAGTGGCAGTCCTTTCGTCTCGCTAGGCTCTTCCTTAACCGTAACATTAGTTTCTTCCGGACTGGGGACGGGTGAAAGACCCGGGATTTGCGTTGTATCATGGTGGTCCTCACAAACAAACGCGTTTTCATCCACCGGGCTCTTTGTTTCGTGGTTCCCTGAGACAAGGTCAGCAGTCGGTTCATCTTTCAATTCGGATAGGGGTGGTGGGACTTCTTTCATGTCATGAGCAACCGCCTGCAAAGGAAAACAAGGTAGTTAGTGCAGAGCTGTTTTGAAAAGGTTATTGTGCTTAGAATGCATGTGCGCACAATGGCCCATCGACGAAGCACGATGCTACGCAGTTGGAACCTTATTCTAACTCTTACAGTTCTTTATGCGCTGCCGACATGACAACAGGGTGAAGATGACAATTCACTGAAGATAACGGATTGTACGCGCTCAGCGGAGAGACTGGAAACGTCGTACTAACTAAACGACTGGGTCAATTTTTCGTGTGGCTTCACCATGATTCTAGATCAGACGAGATGGCAGTGAGCTTCCTGGTTAGGGACTTTGTATTTCGCTGCCAGGTCTTTATCGAATCGCCTTTGTGACGCTGCCACGCCGAATATGACAAGCAGACGATAATTTCTCATGCGAAGCGCGTGATCTGACTTATGGAGAGTAGCTGGCCCGTCTACCGAAGACGAGTCACTTTCACCGATATAGGGGATGCGTAATAGACAGTGGCGATAAAAGAAAGTGATAGCGTTCTTCTACAGTCGATGTATGGTGGCTACTTTTCCGTACAATATCGTAGGATCGAGCGCAATACAGTGTTGTAGGCTGTAGTCTCATCGGAAGGTTGACGTCACGACTACAGGGTGTCGGTTTATGAAAAAAGCATTACTCCCTACTCTTGTTAAAAGGGACATTCAGTTCTTCGACAGATCAAAGAAACTAATATGTAAGTGGACTGGTGAAACAAGCGCCCGTACGTAGATTATTCGACATTTCGACGGGCCGGACTGTAAATAAGAATTTTGAGTTCGATGTATCCTAAAATTGAAGTAATGGATCGCACATTATATCGTGCAGCACAACTATTCAGAGGAAAGACGGATCCTCACAGATATTCTCGATGTCATCCTTTGACTGTGACAGCCTAGATAAAGCGCCAATTGAATCAAACTACATTCGAAATCAGCCCGACTCCGACATTGATTAAATCGGTGGGTCACGATTAGCATGAACCTAAGTTACAGAATCACTTCAAAGATGTTCGGGTTGTTCTCATTTCTTGAGCTCCTCAAACATCCTGGCCGCATTTGGTCGCCATTCATTTCGGTCATAATTCAATACAAACCGTGTAACGAGTCAGTACAAGCTGCTAGTATTAGTTCACCGATATCAGGGAAAATACGGTTAGCCTTACATTGGAAGCAATAACCAAGCGTGTTCAGAAACACCCAACAGTCATTGTTTCCTCATTAACGGGGGATCAGGGTCACTAGGCACAGAGAGATACAGCTTTGACGCAAAAGTGCAGAGGGCTGAGTAACCGGAACATGTCTGGCATGGTGTATTTAGTGGTCTCACCAATCTTCAATAGAGACCCCACCGTACCCAAACAGCTCACCATGTCCCGGTTCCCCTAAGTTCTCCATTGGATTGATGAGTGAAATACCGAACCTCCGGACCGGGAAATTCTGCCCTCACTAAACGGCAGAAATTTAAAAAATGACACGTCAACTTGATTCGTTTAGCTGCACAGAGCCAAGATATCCGAACGTTAAATTCAGCTCCTTTGGTTGTTTGCAGTTCATATTGCTGGTGCTGACTAACGAATAACACAACGGAACTTACTGTTGAATGCCCCGTGGCTGATTTGAACCGCAGGTAATCATGAAATGATCCCATAACGTTGACTATTGTTGTGCCTTGTCCCGGAGACGGTAGTCGCCAAAATAGCTGGGTTAGTTAGCCACATTTCGTTTGCAAGTCAGACTGGCCTTTGGATCGTTTCCACTCTATGCCTGACTGGCGCTGACATACAGTAAGTGGCCTAACCAGTGTGGCCTGTTGCGGTTAGTAAGCCTATTGTGAGGGAGTGGCTTTTTCTGAAACCCAACTACTGGACCCTTGCACTGCCGATGGAATGTTCACACCAGGCAATGATTGCGTCTCTGATTCGAAAAAAAACGGTCCCTGAGAAACACGCCGGTGTCACGGGTGTCGCAGGCTTTCAAAAACTTCCTTAAAAGTCTAGATTCGGGAAACCAACTTCATTTTCAGTCAGTCTGTCAGAATTACACGGCCTTAAAAGTCTAGATTCGGGAAACAACTTCATTTTCAGTCAGTCAGAAATTACACGGCTACTCAGGCAAACGAGTGTCTACCACGTGAACTGGCTGGTCCACTAGCAATAACACTCTAAACTTCATCAGACAGTTCACTGGTCACATCTTCATACTGGGGAAAGTGAAAAAACAGCGCTATTGTTTTCGGCAGCTAACAGTGGTAATTCTTCTTGAAACAACACTGCTCATAAGTTGACTGAGAGATCATCCATAGCCCAAGACCAATTTAGCCCTTCTAGGGGCTCATCAGACGGGTGCAGTCATCGACTTTCAGTTAACGTAATGTCCTACTTGAACCCAAATTGTATGAGATTAGCAAAAGACACTCATTGACACACTAACTTGATTCAAAGACAGACTCAACTAGTTCGTTTCGGATATTTGAGATGTCATGGTATATTTTTTCGGAGGGACATTACCCATAAGGTTGCTGAAAACTGCAATGACCCAATTCAGATCTAAGTAGAGCATAAGAATGATGGGAACTCGGAGACTACCAATCTGGTGAGCCCCAAGAACAGGGAAACCGGTGGTGAGCTTTGTGCAGCACACCCAGTTGAAGATTACAAGAGTTATATTTTTTCTTCGACTGAAAGCTGCTCTTGACCGTCAAACGCCTGAAACTGTGACGTCTAGTCATGAAAGTTTTCCCTTTCAATTCTTGTCTTCTAAACATGCCGTGCACGTTTGTGGGTGCGTAGGCGTCAAAGCCTTTGCCACAGTTCACCACATCCACCACTCCTCTCCATACTTGTTACCGACACTCCGATCGGAACTCCTCACCTGGTTTTCCTCCCTTGAGATCAATATGCTACCCAGGCTTTAACTAATGGCTTTGTTGGAGTTTCTTAGGTCAGGCTCTTCAGGAGATAAAATCATTTAAATGCTATACGACTTCCCATGAACCTCGCACCTATATAATAGGAGTAGTTAATGCAAGGTGCGACGGGACCAAACCACAATCTAGTAACCGAACGAGGGGTTTCTACGGGGTCATGGAAAACAAATTGAGGTTTATTGGTCTTGGTTTGTAATCTGTGCTATATGGATTCCGGAAGAAAAAAAAACAAGAAACTCGTTCGTAATTGTCCCAGGAAGTTTTGATCTCTTGTTGGAATCAAGACTAGAAACCGAATATTCTAAGGGAGGCCGAACGTATGCCTTGGGCAACTGGGGGAACACGGATGTTTCACACATCTTTCTGAGGAGACCGAATTGGCCATTGGCAATACCGCCGGCTCGGACAAATTTTGGGGAAAAGCCGAGACCTTCTTGCAATAAGAGTTCGGGATCCCATCCTTCGGTCAACCTGTGTCTAAATTCGTCACAGCGCATGCAGATGAGGTTGTGAGTGACAGGAGAGCGCAACACACCCATCGAAGGCTGGTCGATTTTACATTGACCAACGATATAAGCGGTCAAGATCCATCTGTAGGAAACTGCCATCTTCCGAAACGATCACCAAATTCTGACGTTGTTAGTGAAAATAAGAATATTGGATCGTATGCTCGCTGATAGGTTGTTGATTGGAAAAGGATCTAGAACTGAACCTTATGTAACTCCGCAACCAAATTACATTGGATCGGAGGGGACACCATCTACTCGAAAATTCGGGATCCCGTCAGGAGGTAGCCTTGCATCTAACTCAAGAAGTGAATCCGTCCCGCTGCAGTTTAAGGGGTCATGTTTCATCAAAAGCTTGAGGAAAACCTGGATATATAGGATCTCCTCTAAAACCCCTGTCTACTGACTTCATCGATGCGTCCCTCGCAAGCTTCTGGTTGGTCAAGCACGTGCCCGCCACCGTGTTGCACTGCTGATGGGATGCGATCCGCGCTATGACGCCTTGTACATTCCACGACCGTCGATACAACAGGAAGACACTGGTAGCTGGTTTGTTGGCTGAACTGGGAAATTTGACTGTAAACGTTTCATCATCAATCGAGATGTTATCATCAGTTCGTTGTTGGGGAGCATAGTGGAGCGTAGCGATGGCCATGAGTAGTGCTGCGTGTGTGTTAACGTACGTACTGCTAGCCGGGGCTGACCTTTGATCACAATTAGTTGTTGGGTCGGGCTGTTCCTTGGGTTGGTCTGTTATCCTGTACCCTGATCGGTCGATGACCATGTGAACTTTGAGCTTGCCCTCAAACTCTCGTACTCTGGCCGATGCTGGAGAGTGGGCGGGTTTTATTGTATGATAAAAGACTGGAGGGCATTTGCCAACCTGACGCTTTTGACGCGATATAACGTCAGTTCTTCTGTCGATGGCAGTGTGGCAGTATGATTGATCAGAAAAGTGGTCACACGTACAGCAGACCTATAGAGACTTTGGTCCCAAAACACTGCTCAGTTTTGGTGGGAACATAGAATCCGCCATGCCATTACAGCAGACGGTTTTTTTTATAAGCTTGCACGACACTGATTAGACCATGCACTTCGCAGACCAGAAGATTGTCTTCATCCACGGAGTTTTTCTAACTTATCCGTGACCTCGGTGCAGTCTATGACCCAGCAATTCAGTTCAAAAGTCCTGGACAATAAACTCGGTCGGTTCGACTTATGTGCCTTCCTCGATGGAAATTCCCGGACCCCGTAAACCAATAGTTCATGACAATGACGGACATGGTCGGACGTGCAGCCAATGGTGCCCTGTAACAAAAGCTTCGTCATCTTCGCACAGATATCACACTTTTCCGACTCAGAACAATTTAGGGCCTCGAATGCATGGGCAGCTAACGGATAGACAAAGTGTAGAGGCTGTAGCCGGCATACCCTTGTTACATTGTTGACGGCTGGATGACGATGACAGCAGATCAACTATTTATGAACAAGTGAGGTACACAACGGGGAGTTAAACAAGTAAAGCATATACAAGTCCCTCACTTACGTTGTCAGGAGTGAATTCTTTTCCTGCGTCTTCTTGACATATTGGGTGGTAAACTTTTTCTTGTACCAAAACCGCGTCACGTAGCATCCACTCTTCCTCTTCATGGTCCCAGATAACGTCAAACTTCTCGTAGCACACAGCACAAACCTATTGACGAGGAGAGTGGGCAAGTGAGCACATAAGACGGAATAAAATGGGGAGCTCACGCAGACTAAAGTTAAGACAGGTATAGTTAAACAACGGGGGAAGATCCAATGAGCAAGTCTGTCAAATGCGGATAACTTTCAGTGCAGTTGTCATGCTACCCAGAAACAATATTAGGGCCGACGCCGTGCCAATGCTCGTAAAAGAGCCCGAAAACTTCCGACTTACCACACAGGCACAGATTCGGTTGTTTAGGTATCCGCAGGACCACGCATCCACTCTTACGACTCAATCACTGTATGCAATTACCTGGTGAGTAAAACAAAGACTAATCTTTGTGTGACTGAGGCGTTCTGTATCCGACCACGTCGATACTAGGAACATACAGGTCGCGAAAGGAGAAAGGCTGCGGAAAGCCTGGAGGTAGGGCGTAGACGCGACCTGCCTTCCAGGGTAGGGGTCATGCACTCCCAGCTACCGAAAGATATGGCAGCGGACCGGAGGCAATGGCTTTCCTATTAAACTCACTCATGCAGTCTGCCTGGGTATTGAAGGTGCAGGCACTTCAGACTTTCGTTGTAGGCTAGCGTCGGGTCGAGGTGGTTCAGTGCTTAGAGTGCGAATTTACTGACCGAAAGGTTCGTGGTTCGAATCCGACCTCTGCATCTTAACTTCTATCTAGGCTTCGGCAACCTGGCAGTATCCCAGCTCTCGTGCTTCCTTTGGGTAGCATGGCAGCTACGCACCGAAAGGGCGCTACGGCCGACCGATTAGTGCCGAGTCCTCTCGCTCGGCTATGTATATAGATGTTTTTTTAGGAAATCGACGGTCGCGCGGTAGTGATGTGCTGGTGATTTCGCCTATGATGGTTATCGAGTGATTATTATCCAAGTGACTTAAAAACGCCATTCAGTAATTAGTTAGGCGCTAGGGAACACAGCAACAACCGTATCACCAGATCACTCATGTAAGGCGAGAAAAGACGAACGGTTCAGACAGGGTCCCTAGAATGAACCACTTGAAGCCTGTAGACTTGAAAAATATTGCTGTTTGAATGTTCCACGTGGAATGCTAAATGACACTGTGTACCTGCAAAGTCTCTTCTACATGTAGCTACTCCAGTTAGAATACCTCTAAATGCCTCAATGTCATCGAGGTCGCAAGTTAGGCTTTGTGGCCTCATCGATTCCATATGAGTACCCACAAAAAGCCTGACTGACGATGTCTCTGGCGAAGAAGCTCAACCCCCTAACTTCCCAAAAGGTTTTGTTGAAACAGGTGTACTTTACTGAGCTGAATAAGCATCAGTTGGTTCTGTGGAGTTGACTTAAACCTGAGTGTGACTCATTAACGGATAATGCATGATAGCCTGATGACGTGGTCTTCAGTGCGGTTCGAGGCCGACAACTAGTCATTTTGACACACTGTCGGACACCCAGGATCACCGGTAAAGGCGGGCTATATGTAGAGACATTCCCCATAGTGGGTACTCTATCTCTGGAGAGCCAACCCTCACCATCCCAGACAGGCGACAATCCTGTTCCTTGAGTAACTGAACCCTGCTCTCCGAAAAGGCCATTAATCTGATCAACAGATCAGAAAATGAGGCATGTAACTCTGAGCAAATCGAGTTAAAAAGAAAGGTGAACCAAAGCGCGCGCAGCTTCCCAATAATGGAAACCGAGTTAATCTACCATGAAAAGTCTAAATCAGAGGGGAAATTTTCACTCGATGGATAATGAGCTTTATCTCACACTGCGATGAACAACATACAGCTCAAGTTCCTCCTTCCCAGTACTACATATTTGGCACAATTCAGCATTCGAAATCTTCCTGCACTAGTATGTTCACGTGTCATTTACGGGTTTCATAAAATGGATGTATCGAACACTGACGGAGACATGGAAGGGGTAAACGGTGAACTTTTCTTGAACCCCCAAGTTTGCCATTATTTGGTCTAAGTTTTCGTGAAGAAGTGTGGTTAAAGATTGTGTCGCAAGATGTGGCTCAGGAAACCGTTCTGGAAAATTAATTACAGGTGAAACAAACAACGTAGAAAGAAGCAACCTAACTTGTCAAGTAATCGAGATGTTCACCTGTAAGCAACGGCCACAATATTTGGCAAAGATGAAGGATAATCACTATGAGTTGCACGACATTGAGATTACGATACCGGCCGAAAGGAAGATCCTGGAGGAGGCCACAACATTGTGCAGTGTTCAGCAGCCTGATGCGTTGAAGTCGGATCAGGGACGGAACCCTCTCAAAGAGTACAGGTCATCTCGGTTGCGAAGACCGGATAGTACCGTGCTATGACAGTTTCCATATCTAAGCAACCTAATTAGTTATACCAGTGTGCGCAGGCAACGTCCAATTTTCCCCATGTGAGCCTGTCTATGGACAGAAAAACATTTTACCGGCCCTACAGAGCAGGTATTATTACTCTTTAAAAGTTGAACTATTATTTTGATCTTACACCAGCCACCGCCGGTTCGTGGTCCAAATACACATATATGCACACATATGCAACTAAAATGTCCTTGAACTGCATTTGTCGTCCTACTCGTTGTATGGAGCAGCGTGGGCCAGTTAAAATATGACAAACGTTGACCCACTGTCATCTCCTGATGCTTTCCTACTTCACTTGATAGCCACTCCTCTGTAGATTCCAGCTGTTGGCACATCAGATAGGTGCTCAAGAAAACGAGAACCTGCAATTCAACTTTCTTACCCAACATTTCATACCCGCTATCCAGGCTTCGTCCACCAGTTTTTAATGAGGCATTCAGGAAGCTGAACCGACGAACAAGACACCTCGACTGCCCCACCGACTGTGAACTGCTACAGCTCGGAAATTCGGATGCCAGATACAAGCGTAAAAAGCAGCTTTGTAACAACCACCAGGCGTTTCTTAGCAGTACTGGACTTAGAAGCAGCGAGCGCCATTATAGTACCCCTTGTCCCTTGCTGTTAAGCAACCCTCCAGTCAGAGTGATCACACATCCATTGGCAACCAAAGGTGCCCACAATGGTCCTTTCCCTAGGGTGGTTTCTCCTGAGGGAGATTAGCAGGTAGAAAAACTCGAACGGTCGGCTGCCCCCTGGACGGCGTGTCAATTAGACGTACCGGGTCTCAGAGGAACACGTCCACCATTCGAACTCGATAAGTTGAAGCTTTTCTCGAGGTAAATGCATTTTAATCAGATCTCATAATTATGATACCTACGCGATATGAGGTGAGGCGAGGTCATATTCATTATGCTATTCATAATTCGATACCTGGCGGTCGGAACACTATCCCCGGTAGTATGTCCATTTTACTCTCGTTTACAGGTCCAGCGTAGGTCGCCACCTGCCAACAGTGGAACACGGACGAAACAGTACGATAGACTTCACTGTCCACATAATGTCACCAGCTTAAGATAGCTCACTGGTTAAGGCGCAAAATTACTGACTGGAAGGCCCCTGGTTCGAACCCAACCTTTGCATCTCGATCGTTCGTGTCTAGGCTTGGACAACCGAATATCACCTCGGCCCCCATGCTTCCTTAGGGTGGCATGGCTGTTAGACATCAAAAGGGTGCTACAATTTGATGATTATTCATCATTTTGAGCATAATAAAGATGACTACATCTGAACAGAGGATTGAATGCATTGCGTTCACTTTCCAATGCATTATGGCTCTATTGGTCCCAGGGTCGAGGGGGATTCACAGCAGGTATTCAGCCCAGTGTACTAGCAAATGAGCCAAAAATGACAAAAACCCAATGTTTGTCACTATGCCGAATAAGGCTGTCAGGAAATGACATTAAACTTGCTGGTTCAATGGCATCGGTGACTAGCCTTTTTAACGACGCAACCGCGTCTGCCGATTCTAAGCGACTCAGAAAACAAATGTTTTCACTATGACCCTGTAGTCTCCGGTTGCCATAACCTTTCACCGTACTATCCTCCATCAAACTGCTTTTGAATGGATGAAAGACGACTTGGAAAGTATATAGGAGAACTCTAAGAGTTACAGCACGTTGACTTATGAAGATGGAATAAACGTCAGTTGGCCAGACAATTGCAGGAACACGAGGTATGTGCCAACACAACAAGTGTTGCTACAGTGAGCACAGTGATTGAGTTGACCGCCCCCTCAGTCTCCACTCGCTCCCGGCTGCGCGCCTCTGGTGATCCAGTGGCTGCTGCGGTGGGATGTGCAGGGGGTGGTATTGTGCTAAGTCACCAGGCGGAAGTATCCTTACTTGAGTGGATACCTGTTGATAGTCGCCTCTGTGCAGTTCGTCTGGCAACGTTTGTGAAGGAGTCTCACAAGCGGCAAGTTGATAGATATCTGTTTATCGTATCTGCCCATGCCCCAACTGACCGCAGCTCCGACGCCGTCAAAGACAAGTTTTACGACGCCCTGAATGCCCTGCCGCGTCCAGCTAAAAGCTCAGACATTGTGGTTGCCGGAGATATGAATGCGCAAGCGGGCAAGCTTAGTGAATCTGAGACTCAATTAGGAGGTCGACATGGACTGGACTCGGTACGTACGGACAATGGGGAACGATTGCTTCAGCTGTATGCTGATCGCATGCTGTTTTTATGCAGTACGAACTTCCGAAATAGCCGAAGTTGTCTGGCCACTTGGTGTCCTCCAGCGGCAGGCCGGCCACAAACTCAAATCTACCACATTGCCATCAGTTACCGATGACGCGGATCCATAACTGACTGCCGGTCGTTTTGAAACACCTTTGTGGACTCTGACCACGCGCTCGTCCGGAGTCGCTTCGCCCTACGTCTCCCGGGGCAGCGTAAGGTGCGGACAAATCGCATGGCAACTGAAAGACTGGCAGATCCGAATGTCAGACGAATCTACAAGAATCATCTTCTAGAGTATCTCCCAAATGCTCCACCATCAGATGTGGACTCATACTGGGATGAGATTGCCACCTCTTTGCACAGTGCTGGGAATTTTGCCTGTGGCACGACCCAACCAGGCGCACTCAAGCACTGGATATCAGACCG